GGATGGATGGATGGATGGATGGATGGATGGATGGATGGATGGATGGATGGATGGATGGATGAATGGTGCAAGGAGATGAGAGATAAAGCTAGAGGAGAGAGTTATTGTCTATTGGAGAATTATGGCCCCAGGCAGCTGTCCAAGCAGTATCCAAGTCTGGACAGAAAGCCATTGATTACAAACCCTGAAGGACGCTGGGGATGATGGCTGTCAGAGGACGAGACGGGGTGAGGGACTGACTGAGCAGCGGGGCCGTTGACAAGAACATGATGGGGGATCTTGAAAGTCAAATAAATTAATGATCCAATCTCACAAAATTTAGGCTTCATCAGCACGTCTTCTCTCAATCTGTGTAAGATCGTCTGACTTACGTCCAAGTTTGAGATTTGCTATTGTCGAAATGCGCCAAAAACACGAGCAGCAATGAAATATTATGAGACCTCCTGGGAGAGAAGGATATTTTTTCTTCATCTTTATCTACCTCTTGACTTTGCCTTCCAAAGCAGGTGTGTCCTGGCAATGATATACCCAGTTGGGTGAATGTTTTCAGCTTAATGAGGATAGTTTAGACTTGGCAGGGAGCTGGGCATAGATCGAACATAGGCCCTTAAATGCAAATGCCTCCCCTGGGTTTTCTTTCTTGCATCACTGTTAATTTTGAAGCACACTCTCAGAGTTGAGCACAAATGCTAGTTATACACCAATTTCTGTAGGCTCTAGGGTCATAACAATATAGAAAATACAATACAATACCGATAAAGATCGGATATAGAAGATTTAGAGCTGCTGTACCTGTAGGTCAATGTGCTTCCAGCTGATACTGTCTGTATTTGCTCCAGCAGAGACCTTTGCTCTTTTTAATATGTTTTAAAGGATAGCTCCTTACAGGGAGAGATTCAGACCCTTATCTCATAAGCTAAAAGACAATTAGATTTCTAACTGTTGATGTATTAAAGGCACTCAGGAGCACTAATAAAAAGAACATTTGACAATGTTTCATCCTAACCACCTCTACCCTCTCCTCCCACCACCTAGAATCATCCTTTATGGTGTCGGCCTCGTCGCGAACCCCATCAATAATCTTCGGAGACTCCTTCGACCTCCTGTGCCTGGTCAAGCCTCGCCACAACCCGCGCGTCCCCGCGTCCGTCACGTGGCGCTTTCTGCCGGCCAGCACGCGACCTGAAGGCGAGGATCAGGGAGAGTTCAAGGACCTGGTGACGTTCACCCGCGAGGGCACGCTGCAGTGGGGGGAGCAGCTGCTCGGCCTGGGCACCCGCACCACGGTTGACCGCTCCCACTCCAACACCAACTTCCGGCTGTCCGTCACCCGCGCGGGGCGCCGCGAGGCGGGCAAATACCAGTGCACCGCCGTCCTGTGGAGGAAGAACTACGACGACAGCTGGAGCAGAGTGGCCAACCGCACCTCCAACCTGCTTGGCATCAGTGTCCTGCCACCAGGTAAAGACGCTTGCCAAGCGGACACACACCTAATTGGAACAGACATAGACAAACGTGCAAGCAGGGATAAAGCATGATGCACACACACACACACACACTCACAAACATACAAGGTGAATCCACCAGAGCTTAGAGGATTTCTGCTTGCTCTAATTGCGCTTAGACTCTGGTTTAGACACTAATTGGACTGTCTGTGGATTGTGTTTGTGCATCTTTGTAAGTCTATGTGTGCTGGGCATGGTGAAATGTCCTAATGGAGTGCGCTGGATGGGCTGCTAAATATCCCATAGGAGGAGAAAACTAAATGAAAGTGTTAGGTGAGAGGCAGAGAGACAAAGGGAAAGATGAAGAGTGATGAAGAGAGTGAAGGATCTGTCCTTGAACCTGCTTCCTTGTGGAGGCATTAAGCTGTTTACACCGCCCTCGCTGGCCTTTTATGTGCCACATGCGCATGTGCACAAAGAAAAAAACAATTTGGACAAAGCCCAATTAGCAGTACACAATAAAAAAGAAAGAATTGCACACACACACACACACACACACACAATGCAGATTTGCAATTGTCCAATTTATCCCAGCTTGTTGTGCCTGAACAGTATCATATTTCCTTCATTCAAGGAAGTGTGCCACTGGCAAATAGTTACCCTTCTAATTAATTTTTAAAAAATTCAAATTCCTTAATTTTTTTAAGTAATCCAGCGAAGGTTTTCAGTACCTGCCAACCTAGTGGGGATTTTGCAGAAGGATCAATTCATGTGAGTGGGATGGAAATTAGGTTATATTTTTTTTAATAACATCAGTCAATCATGTAGCAGGAGATGGTCAGCAGACGGTCATATTTGTAACCAGCATTGAAAGACGTTGAGAGACTGCACAGCTGCACAGAAACAGCAGGCCATGGTGGTCAGTAGTGCTTCCACTGTGAGACAGAGTTCCGCAGTCACATGTGTTGCATGGGTAGTCTTTCATTCTGCACCGCCATTGATCCAGGTACACGCATGAATGCAAACAAATGACAACAGACTCGCATGCACTTTCCGTGGCACAGCCGAGTGGAGACGGTCCTTTGCTATTGACCGACTGCTCCCTGACCTTAACTGTTCACGCAGAACACACAGCTTTCCTGGACCCTTCGGGAGTTATTTGAAAATCGACTTATCATCCTGAATGCTCATTTATGCTCCCCTCAGTTGTGGAGCTTAGTCTGTTTAACCCTAAACAGAGAACACACATTCACACACTCAGGCAGGCAGTTTCTTGCAGGGCGCTTTGTCCTCCTTCCACTCGCTTTTCTCCGACGGGGCCCCGTGTCCATGACAAAGCAATCAGTTACCTAAGTAAAGCCATCAGAATCTGTGATGATGTGATCAGTTTCCAACTGGAATCCAATCGCCAACCGTGACGTTGCAGACATTCTGTCTATTAGGTCACTATCCCACATGGGAAGATGGTATTGGTGAGTTAGACTCATACCTCGCCAGTTATTGAGGCAAAGCTTAGTGAGGGCCCTGCTGCTTTCAGTTCTGTTGTTTTCAGTATTTTTTTTCTGTTTTGGTTACGTAGTCAGACCTTCATTTAGACCGATGACTCATTTGTCAGGATGATGATGTCTCCTTCTTCCCCATCTGCTTTTTCCTCCCCATCTCCATAAATGTTTACCACCCCTGTCTAAATGTAGCAGAAGTTTTCTGTTGCTCACTCGATAAGGTGGGATAAATGGGATTGTGTGTAATGAAGTGTGAGCGAACACAGCATCTGAACACATATATTATTGAGAGACTTTAAATCACGCCTACAGTGGGAGTTGCTCTATATATGCCAAAGCTACCTCATCAGAATATCTCGAGCTTTCATGTGCTTACTTTGCATACATAGAAAAAGGTTACTTCACCACTGGCACCCAGAAACACAACGGCTGAATGGCTTGTTTCATCTCCCTGTACGTCCACTATGCCCCCATTTTCTATTCAGACGACCCATGCGCCCTGCATGAGACGGTTTCCAAATGCAGCCCGGCGATGCCTCTTCATTTTTTGGAGTACTTTAAAAGCAGAAAAGAGAAAACAAGAATAAGAAACTGCACCCTAGATCTAGCATCCATGCATCTTAAATCTCCAGGATGTGGGGGTGGTGGATAAAGATTAAAGCTAGAGGAAACCCCCTCAGAAGCAGTTGGACTGTCAGCATAATGTTTCATCAAAATGTTCCTCAGCACAGGCCCACCTCCATCTCAGGATTGCATTAGGAGAACGGTGCCTGGGTCCAAGTCCCATGGGTCAGACGAGATGAGTTCACCACCAAGTCGACACAAACACATACAGTGTTTTTATTCTTATTGTGAGGGCCCCTGTGCTGCAGTTTGGTTTGAATTATCAACCAAAGGGTACATGCACAAAACCACTGCACACACAGGAAATCAGACCTCCTATTCCAAACAAAAGCTGGTATTACATGTGCTGGCACTGTAGGGTTGCCTCCCAGAGTAAAAGTGTAATTATCTTATGATTGAACATGATTCAATATTAGCCCTCATAGCATAGGATTTCCACAAACTCGTAAAAGTCTTGTAGCATAAACAGTCTGTATAAACTTCACATACAGTGGAACAAATATTAGATTTCACCTGATTGAGTTTTCTCTTTGTTTCTTTCTGAGATGCAATAATGGCAAACACATGTTCAGCATGGCAGATCACCAGGGAAGCCCCAGTCTCTGCAGCACAATCTAATATAATCTGCTCATAATGCAACCTACACACACGCTAACACACACACACTCCATTGGAAACACGCAAAACTAATTATGCAGAATCTTTCCTAATGGAACTGCAGTTTAGATTAATGATGATTTTGGGAGATCAATAGGTTTTTCTCATCATTTGTGCGTGCGTGTCTGGCATTAGGAGCCCGATATTAAGACCGTCTGGTTATTGGCTGAGCGGGACTGATGATATTTTTAATTGGGGGAGGTGTCCCACTTAGAGTTTTTCATCTCTCTCCTCTCGCACCTACGCTTTCCTGGCTACGCTTTACTCACATGATCAAACATCCCGCTGCAGAAACAGATGCCTTTTTTCCCATTATTTTTTTTTACTTATCCTTATCCTCCTCTTTTTTTTTCTTTTTTGGCTCTCTCTTAGGTGGTGCTTTGAGTTAGAGGATATAATCCTCCTACTATCTTGTCCTGCTCTGTATGCTTGTTGAGGGTGTCCTTCCGTTTAATAAGGATCTGCACAGGCAAAAGTGCTCTCTTTTCATGCTACTGATGTAGTTGCCACTAAGCCTTTATTGATAATGTTTCCACCACTGCAGTAATTGGAAATTCCCGCTTATCAGGGCACAGATAGGAGCTGTCCATCTTCATTAAGGCCTGGCCCTTCACCTACTTACCTGCTACCGCTCCTTACAGCCCTTTCATATTTAGACATTAGTGTCCTCATGAGTTGACCTTTTTTCTCTTTTACACTCACTCAGCTGCTTTTCCCCCTTCCTCTTGCATTTAGCCTCTTTCTCACTCCTGCAATTCTCAATATTTTATAATTCCATCCTCCTCCTCATAGTTCTCGCCGTTATATCTATATTTTCTTCATACAGTCCCTTCAGCTTTGTCAAACAGTAAAGCTTTTGCAACTGCATCGTCTACAGCCTGGAGGCTTTTGTTGCTTTTAAAAACAGTCATTTTTGACATGCCGGCAAACCTTCCATGTCTACGGCTGTAGTTTAGGGTTGCCCCAAGCCCACCTCAGGTCGGACTATATGCAAAGGGTTGCATTTGTGCCTTCAGCCCTTTGCTTTGGTGCAATGGAAGTTTTCTTTTGTTGTGTGTGTACGCATCAATATTGAAGGTCAACATGTGGGATAAATAGAGACTTGGTGGGGTGCACCGAAACAGAAAATAATTTCATAAAAGGCTTTTGATTAATCACGTCTGTTTCAGGGATTCAAGGTCAGGATCCTCCCCTCCTGCGTCCTCCCTCACAAAAGAAAAACCCACACATCCTCTCTTATGACCTCGCACAGGCACATTTTTCCGTCCAAGCTAATCCAATCTCAATTTCATTTCCTTGTTCGGCCCAATCTGCAGACACAATGAGATCCTCTGTGTTGTGTCCCTCCATCTCCTTTAAGCACCTGTGTATGTGTGTGTGCGTGCATGCTTTACATGTGTGCACACAAGAGCTTCTGAGTCCTGCTGCTACTGTAATTGAAGTCGTAACTCAGAGCCAGATACAGTGCTGCTGCTCCTCATGTAAATCAGAGGCTAATGGCTGGAGCAAGGAGAGGCTTAGCAGCACTGAATACACACACACTCATTCACTATTCTACTTACAGGGACTGAACGTCCACTGTTCTGTGTGGTTTAATGAGCATAATATGTTTTATGGTTCTTGGCAGACCCCTCTCAAACACACTCTTGTGTAGATGCTGGCTCGTGGCTCAGTCTAATAAGTCTATATGCTCTCCCCTTCCTGCTAGTATCCTAGGGATCATTAATCTTACAGAGTTCCCCTGCCCTGACCCGTTGTCTCACCCACTCCATAAGCTTCCATTGTCCAGCAACAGTCTCTTTCAGACAGGCGAAAAAAGAAGATGGAAAATACATTAGGTTTACCACTGTGCTGGACTCTATAAATGATAGAGAATAGAATTATACAGCTCTATTCAAGACAACCATTACATACATGCATACGATATCTAAATTCATCACAGTCATGATGGTATTTTGGGGAGTCACATTAGACAGATTAGAAGTAAAATCCCTCTGACACAATGGGATCAGAGATTTATCAGAGTCATTAGCATAGAAATTAAGCTTCCAAATCTACAGAAGAGACACTTTTCAGTCAAGGAAACCCCATTTGTCATCACTCGAGACTGGCAGCCTGCTCCAGTCTGATCTACGCCCCCGTGTGAAAAGGTGCAGCCACACTGCTTCTGTGCAGCATTTGGTGTTTATCAGCAGGCCAAAGTCAGCTGGTCAGCAGGGTGTGTGTAAAGTTCTCAGTCCAGCCATGCTAATGCTGAAGGTGGAGCGGGCAGCCATTGTGACTAGAGCTTCTCCAGTATCCAGTTTGAGAGACTGCACGCCGCTTCCAAAATCCCCTCAGGAGCGTGTTCTCGCTTTCTGTCTTTTACATCTCTCTCATCTTTTCCAGGCTCTTTTCCTCCCTTTGCTCATTCCCTCTCCTTTTGCAAATTTCTGTTCAGTTTGATGTTATATCCCTTAACTTTCCAAATTTCCTCTCATCCTGTCATCTTAAAAAAAAAAAGATGCATCCCTATTTCCGTGGCTGCTTTTACTTCACCCCTTTCCTGTCCCACGTTTTATGTTTTAAAGTAGAAGCATTGCAATATATTTAAAGCCTGGAGAATAATTTGTCAATTTGTGGGTCTTCTTGTATGCATTAGCCTTTCTCGTTTAAAAAAGCCTAAATGTTAAGCCGGGACTCCATCTGCACCTCTGATGTTCACACTACATTTAGACCCCATTAATATGCATGAGCCCGCAGGTGAGTCTGCTGAATATTCATGGAGGCTGATTAGATGAGAGTGACACAGATCATGGTGGCAGATAGAAGAGGGAAGAGGTGATGATTGTTCAAAATGAAGAGTGACAAAGGGAAAGGAAGAAGGTGTTGAGTGGCACATACAGTAGAGCCTGTCCAGCGTTGAAAGACTCCTCCAGAAGCAGCAGCACAGAACAGAAATTTAAAATTGTATCCCTGGTTAAACTTTTTTTTTCTTTAAGCGCTGAAGGATAACAGGCTTATATTTACCGCTGGGTGTATTCTGCTCTGAACGCTCAGACAGCCGTGTATCTCTTTCAAAGTTCACTTCTGAGTGAGTGAAAACTGTTTGTGTGATCTCACTGGCATCTTTGGCTGTACATTTCTCCTCCGCCTTGACGACAGTTTGTTTTCATCTGATATGATTCATAACGTCCTGTCTGAGGTTTTGGGCTAAGTTAGCTATCTTGTTTTCATAACAAAGCCTGTATTAAAGTCTGTTTTTTTACATAAATAAGATAATAAGATAATAAGATAAATAAAACACCTCAGGGGTACTCAGACAACACACTCTCTGTCCAGTAGCATCAGTATCACAGTTCAATACAATATTGAACAGCATTAGTTCAATACATTGTAATTTTGGTCATATTCCATATCTGCCAAGTTTTGTTGAAATTCAGCTGTTTTTTGTTGTTGTTTTTTTTTACAATCTTGCAGAGGACCACGCAGACAAACAAACAGTAATGATCGCATATATTTGTCTTGACTCTTGTCTTGGCGGAGGAATCAAAACAGCCTCAACTCTGCTGTTTCCTTTAGTTATTAAACCAGACAGTCTAGGAATATACGAAGAAGGGGTGAGAACAGGGTTCAATGAACCAATTAGAGGCTGTATTGTGTTCAGTGGGTTTCTGCGTGGATGTACGTGCACAAAAAACAACCGAAGCGTGTGCTGCGATAGTTGTTGGAGAAGACATAGTCTGTCTTTTATTACAACTTTGTTCAGCGAATAAAAATACATCTTCCAGGCAGTTTGTAAAGAGGCAGTTAGTCTAAAGATTAAATCTTATTTAATCACGTTGCAGATTTAAACGGAAGCTGTGACCTGGTTTGACTGATTTGCGCTGCTCCCTTATGTTGGATAATGTCAGTGACGTCTTTAAACTTATTTTACCATGTTGATCACGGACAAGAGGTTGCCATGGAAACAACAGAGGCAGGTGCAATGTATGAGAGGTTGAAAGATCGAATTTTTTAAAAAAGTTGCATTTTTCTACAGGTGAAAAGAGAAGTTGAGCGCCTGTAATTGTACAGTGTCATTCATTTCCATTCCCACTCGAGTGGTATAAGAACTTCTGAGCAGTGGCAGAAAGCGCTGCTAACTAAAATTGTGTCTTTCTTTGTAGGTGAACCCTTGAGTCTAATTAAAGATGTGCAGCAGCAAAACTACTGAAATGGGTATTGATGGGCTTGCTATTACAAAAACACAGAGCCATTTTGGCTCCTCTGGGATCACACATGCATGATGAGCAGCCTGTTAACGGGGACTTAAGTTAATCTCAGAACCTGGATAAATCCTCTCTTATTAACAGCACATATATATGCCTGCATCCAGACTGTAAGTGAATCTTTTTCGATAGTTGGCCTCTCTGTATCCCGGGTCAGCAGATGGATCTGTGTAACTGTTAGATCAGCCGTGCTGACAGAAGAACCCTCATTCTCTGTGGGGTGGGACATGTGTCAGAGGATATGACATGCTGGTGTCTGAAGTTGCTTTCACTGCAACACAATTCAGCTGGGAGTAAAAGGGACAGTATTACAGCCTTTCTTCTCTTTTTATTTTCCCCCTGCCTTGTTGGTCATTTATTCCTCCTTTTTTAATTTGTCTTTTCAATCTCTGCATTCTTAGTAATTACTTACAGTAAGTCATACTAGTACCTTATGAGGCTTAAGTCATTATTTGATATTTGAAAAGGCATTCTTGTAAGGCGTATGGCGACAAGCTTTCAGCTCCCAGTTGTGCTCAGCTGCCTATTGAAACCTCAAATTGGAACTACAGAGAATTGCTTTGTCCTGTGCCAATCCAATCCTGCATGGTTTCACTTGAGGTGGTTCCGAGGTAATTCTTCTGTAAAGGGGGGAAAAAAAGGAGTTGCTAGGATTCCACAAAGCTCTGCAGTAATACTGAATTGAGACGTCAGGTTTCTAGCAAGACCGGTTGAGAGGCAACGATAATGAATAATTTCATTGCCTTAGCTGGAAAGACTGTTGCACAACAGGGGTGGTCTGACGATGTCTGGAAGCCATGATTGAATGCACGTAAAGGCATGCATGTGTGTTATAATGTTGATATGAGGATTTCAAAAGTGCAGTCACTTGAGTATGCTTTCCAATCTGTGGATGAGGAAAAGGTTTTTTCCAGGCAGATGGTGGCACTCCTGGGCATTCAGCTACTCGTGGCTAAACGCAACAGGAATTACAGGGGAAGGTCCCTGGAGGACTTTGAGGTTTGATATATAACACAAAATGTTTTTAAAATGAGGTACATCAAAAAATAATCCTGGTCAAAGGTCTCATTTTTATCCACTGTCGAGAAGTCTTCTTTAATCCTTAAAGTCACAGAGTGTAAGTTTTCTGCTTGTATCCAGTCTCTTTCCTGAATGCCTGAATTCCGTAGAATAGAATGCTTACATCTATTAGCGCTGCAGGTCCATCTCCCGATGAGAGCATAGTACGTATCATGACAGAGTAGTTGAAGCAGAAGTTGACAAATCCTCCTCTGAGGCAAATACAGACGATGAATGTGGGGGTAGTTTTGATGACATTTCAGACTTAGTTTGGACTGGTTTTTTATTTGCTTAGAAATATTGGCAGTTGCTGCTTTGTTTTGGATTGGGGGAGGGGGGGGGCTGTTGCCTAAGTGCCGTCACTTGTTCCAAATAAGCATTCCGACAGTCTAAATGAGCATAAATTGCATATCCTCCCGTAGCAGGATCTGTCACAGCTCTTTTAAACATACGCAACCATTACAATTAGAGAGAAAACACCATTGATGGAGTTTCTGTTGTAACTTTTATAGCCGCTAACAGGATTCTGTTGCCGAAATGAAGCCGAATGTAAACAGTGTGTCAAAAGATGGACATGTTTAAGGGTATATATGATATATGCATATATCAGTAGAATATACATGATGGGATATGATGTAGGATTTTTTACACTGCTGGCATCACATGCAGTTCAGTTTTGTTGTATATTGTAAATTTGCCAAATTAATAGATGTGGGGATTTTTTAAATTAAATTCCTTTCTAACATTTTGCTTGAAAATGGTATTTTTTTTAATCTTTGCTTTGTCATTGTATAGCATGGATATGTATGCTGCACTTGTATCTGTGTATGCGCCTTTGTGTGTGTTCGGCATGCTTTGAAATAATCCTCCCTCCAGGCATTTGACAGTAGGTTTCTGGTCGCGGTCACACCTGATGTACCTGCAGCTAATCCCATCCCGCAACCAATGTCACTGTAACCAATCCTGTCACAGCACGCAGGAAAGCTGCTGCTCCCCTCTGGCATCTTAGTCACATCTCTCAGTTGTTTCCTTCCATTCCTACCAGCTTTTTCCTTGCTTGCATGACTTTATAAACGTATTCCTTCTTTTTTTTCCTCCTGGCAGACTGACAAGAAACGCTGCCCTGCTTTTGTCTTATACCATAAGTAATAATATCTTTCCTTACAATCTACTCCTTTCACATTTGTATTCCTACCTTGATAACAGCAGACCTCAAATCACTTTTACTTTCACTTGCTTGGTATATCCTTTGCCGATCTCTCCTCTTTCTGTCCTCCTTTTTTCTATACTTTATTGGCTGCCGCACCCACTGACAATTCACTGTGATTTCCTGCCCTGCTGCTACCAGAAATAAACCAAGCTACAGGTCTTTTGTCAATTGTCACATTGTGTACCTGTCACTTCAGCTCACATTTTCCTATAACCAAAGTATTTGACAATTTGTTCTCTCTCCCTTCTCTCCCGGCTCCCCCTTTCCCCTTATTTTCTTGCAGAAAGTAAGCTCAAAGTGCAAAAGAACAACCAGTCTCAGGTGTACCTGGAGGACAGCCGTGTCAGGATCAACTGCTCTGTGGCCTCCCAAACCAGCCAGGACTCCCAGCATGCTGTGCTGTGGTACGTGAGACGGGCGGTGGGCTCAGAGACCGACGAGCTCCTGCTGAGAATCGAACGTTCAGGAGCCTTTGAGTACGGTGCCTATGCAGACGAAGAGAGGCTCAGGCTACGCGTGCAGGCCGAGAGGCTTTCTCCCCGTCTGTATGTGCTGACGCTGAACAGAGCGGAGAGCAGCGATTCTGGGACATACTACTGCCTGGTGGAGGAGTGGCTGAGTGACCCAGATGGAGCCTGGTATCGGCTCTCGAGGGATTCCTCGGGATACACGCAAGTCCTAGTCAGACAGCCAGGTAAGCAAGCGGAGAAACGATCTGTTCTCTTTTAACAGGGCGAGTATTTATTCCCACAGCATGGAAGGAGCAGCTGTCGCTTAAGCCCCAAATGCTGCCGTGCTTTAGATCAGTGGAACATTGTGAACCATACCTCCCATCATCACAAGTTCTGCTTAAAACCTTGAGTGCGTCTCACTCTGATGGCCTTACACCTGTCCCCAGCAGAGCTCAGGTGGGGGAGAAAAAGGGATGAAGCCGTGCTAGTGGACGGAAAATCTAATCCATTTGTCCCACTCTCACAAACTTCCGTTTTAAGCGATAATGTACCTACTGCCACCCACATCCTGACATCCCACCTCATCAGAGTTATTTTAAGGACTCTCCAACTCATATCTCTTCCTCTCTTTCAGCAGACTTTTCCATTTCCCTTCTACCACAATCTTTATGCCTTTCTCATCCAATTCTGGTCAGCGATATTGGCACTGTAAGTGCAGCATATTTAGATATTCTCCAATCAATAGCCAAATAAAAACATTTGGTAAGATATGTCTTTGTAAGGTTTGGAGAACGGTCCATTTAAGCTTTGAATAAATAATTTGACACTATTTACATTAGTGCACAAGTCGCTGGAGTTTACACAATTAAAATGAAATAACCTGTGAATGATATATGGAAGATAAAAAGAAAAATGCTGTTAAAAGACACCTAATTCTTCAAGTGAATAACAGAAGATTTTACAATCCATTTTCCGCTATTTCCTATTTTAGCAAGAAGCTGACCGAAGGCTATTAGTGGTTGATTTTAGCCAGAAAAAATGCAGTGCTCACTGAAACAAATAGCCACAGTTCTACTGACAGTTTAAAAACAAAACAAAGTCATCCTCTCAGGGAATGCAGTGCATCAGCTTGTGTAAAGTCAACAAATTGAATAAAATGTGTTCCTGCTGCTTTGCTGCCTCTGATACAAGGGACACAATGTATCAGAGGAATGATGAAATCAGATTACCAAGGCATTTGAACTAAAATACATTACTTGAAGTCACCAAGCGTGGCTTTTTAGAAGGAAAAATTTAAGATCAAACCTCCACTTCAAACAGCAGAAAAGGACATGACTGAGCAGTTTTTGATCACCTGCATTTTCTGACCCAAATTCCTTTGAAACCCTTTGAAGTGAGCTGACATCTGTAATTGTAACAATACGCATTTTAATTCGGAAGCTCACATGAACATAAAGTAGTGAAAGAATACCACAGATTGCAAGAAGCCATCATTATACGGTACTACCTGAAGAGGCTCAAAATGAGCTTTGAATCTACGCATGCCAGGATTTCTGACAAGCTGTGTGCAGTAAAACAAAAAAACATGATTAATAACCCACCCACATGTGTGTCTTATCGCTGACATATCTGAATGCAGCAGTCCTCTATAAGGTGTTCCATTCACGATTCAGAGCGAAAACCATTGATAGGCATTGATATAATCAAGGCGGCTGCTCAACAGCCTGTGATTGTGAGATGACACTGGCCTCATAATTAACACAGCTGCAGATCCTATACAGATGAAGAGATCTGGAGTTATCTGCTCTTTCAAACAGGAATTTGTTGTGATGAATTTTGGTATAGAACAGCTTCAACCCTCTTATTTTAGAATTTAAAAAAAGATATCGTTTTAAACTTTAATTCACGTATATAGGCAATAGGCATCATCGCTACATGTATAATGTATGTCTATATGGATATTCAATTAAAGCATCTAGAGAGGAAGTCCGGAAATATGCTCAGTGAGAGGAAAGATGAGGCAAGATACGTGCCAGAACTCTGTTTCTTATTCCAGCTTCCCCGCTGTTCATCCTGCTTCTCTTTTTTGTTTTAACAAGACGACAGGTCCAAACTGTTTGTGAGAGGAATTCATGCAAGCCAAGTCTCGATTGCCACTTTTTCTTAAACTGCATTGGAAGTGGGTCATCGTAACAGCCCTGAAGGGCTGTAGCATACTCATGCAGACAGACACCCTAGCCTCGAGCTAGGACCTAACCCTGCTGGGATACTGAGAAACTGGTGATGGCTCCAGGCGGAACAGTGGGATTTCTTTATTTTTGCCCTTTGTTTGAGGATGAGATGTCCCATTTGTAGAGTTTGCTGCTTTTTAAAGTTGAAATGCTTAAAAAGGTTTAGATTACTGCATCAAGTAGTATCCAGAAGACTTGTGAATATACCAAAATTTATATAAAATTCAGACCATGCTTAAGGATTCTTGAGAAGACACTGTTATATTCGATTTATAAAATATCACTTGAATTGTAACTTATATTTCGGCGCCTAATCTTTTTTGCACAACCTTTTCTATCTCTTTCTTTTCTTCCTGAACCTGTAGAAGCCCGACTGCAGGTGGAGGAAACCGAGTCAAATGTGACGGTGGAGGAGTCGGGCTCGATCCAGCTGGGGTGCAGCATTCCCCTGCAGTCGTCCCAGGACTCCCGCTTGTCCGTGTCCTGGTACGTGGAGCGCTCCGAGGACCTGAGCGGCGAGGACCAGCCGAGCGAGGACGAGAGCAAGCGGGAGTGCGTGTTTACCATCGCCCACGATTTTGTTTTCCGAAACGAAAACTGTAGCCCTCGGGATGAAGCGGGGCCAAATTCCCGCTTGCAGTTTGAGAGGACGAACTCTGACATGTACAGCCTGACCATCCACGGAGTCCGGCCAACAGACGCTGGCCGGTACTACTGCCATGTGGAGGAATGGCTGCTCAACCCCCGCAAGATGTGGTACCGCCTCGCTGCCAACAATTCTGGGTTCACTATCGTCAACGTATTGCAGCAAGGTAAGCCCTGAATAAACAGCCTCTAGGAATGCTTAAAACAAAACAAAACAAGATTCCTTTCAGCTTAAAGATTCCCCGCAAGATGTGATCCACTTCCACGAGTATGGATGTCTCACCAAAGTGTACACATCGTCTTTGTGCTGTGAAATGAACCTGTCCCTTAATCCACCGAGGAACAAAAAGAGATGAAAAGGATTCATATAGACTATTCATTAACTGACTATATTTTGATCTAGGTTAGATTGTGATTAACTTCAATGGATTACAAACAAGAGGTGGGAATATGTGCAGTTTAAGGTTTGAAAATCCCAGAAAGTACAAAATACAGCTTTCATAGTGTGTAAATTCCTCAGAGAATCCTACTGATCGTCATTCGTCTCTTTTTATTATTCATTATTCAAGCTTATTCTATAGGGCTTTGCATTGGCCTATTCTTGCAGTACGTGATGTTGCAGAGTAGATGAGAAGAGAATATTACACATTTTGGGCCTTGTCCACAAGTTCAATGATGTTCTAGTGAAACCTTATGAAAAATTAATCATTTCTTTGAATAAGATCTCCATGAAATGTGAAGATGCTGGAAAACTGTTTGCATTGTTGGAAACAACACATTTGGTATTTGATTGGGCCTATTAGTGTTCTTCCATGAGTTGTTGTGCTGCCATCATGTGTCTATAATTATAAACAGCCCCAACATGTCATAAGGCTCCCTCTCACTGTTAGACGCAGCTCTTCAGGCTCGGATTTGTTGTGGCTTCCTACTGCCATGTCCTAGGATATAGGAGAGAATGACAGCATTAAACCATCTATCTGTTTTGCTGATATAAAAATAAAAATCGAAAGTCTTGGTGGACAAAAAAATGTTTACGAGGGAAAATTTTAATATGAATAACAATCCACAGCCTTTATCTTCTTACCCCTCTAGCTTTATGTGGTCTTACCCTCTCTAGTTCAGGCTCGGTTTCAGCCAGTCAACAGTCAAGCTTTATGGGACTAATAGGTTACTAATATAAAAGCTAATAGAAAAAAGAAACAATACTGAGCCAAAGTAACCAAATCTCTGTTTAATGGTTAATCTGAGGTTGTTATTAAAGAACAAGCAGAGTTTAAATGGTACCCTGGGATAGTTGTCCATTTTAGAATTACAGATATTTTTGCTAAATTTTCTGGGAGGCAATAGGATTGAATCACATGAGTCAACAAAGGATTACACAGTTTTATAACTGTAAGGAAAACTAAATTTTGGTGAAAGTGAATAAAGTCAATTCAATGAACTCATGTGTTTAAAAAGTCCTCAGCTTTTCTTCTCACTCATGAGTGTAAACCACTAAAACCTGTAACAATTCTCTTTCTGCAGTGTCTACTATCCAGTCTGTGGTGTGCTCCATCGACTCCCTCTTTTACTTCGTCTTCTTTTACCCCTTCCCCATCTTCGGCGTCCTCCTCATCGCCCTGCTGTTGGTGCGCTTCAAGAGTCGCAGCAACAACAAGAGCCAAGAGGGGAAGAACGGCGCCCCGCTGCTGTGGATTAAGGAGCCTCACCTCAGTTACTCCCCCACCTGTCTGGACCCGCCGGCCCTCAGCTTGCACCCCGGCTCGGTCGACTAAGGGAAGGCAGAGCCGGCCCAGCCCGCCTCACGCACGTTACAGTCCCAGCAAACACAACGCCAGGGAGCACATCTGGATACCACCTTCAGACCTTACTGTTGTTTAATGCTGTGCTAAAAGTAGTCAATCAGTTGATCAGTTTAAAACTTTCCACCCTGGTGACTGTTTTATGTTAAGAACTGTGTGTGTGTGTGTGTGTGTGTTTGTGGGTGGGTGGGTGAGACTGGATGTGCCATTTCAGCACGATTAGCCTAACTGAGAGGGTATGAACTGAGAGCGCATCATGAGCCCCGCCCACTTCCGTTCTCTGTCAAACTGTAGAAAATCTCATAGCAGCATTTCGATTCTTAGTCCAAATACTAGTCTATTTTTCAAATGTGGAGAATGAAAAACAGTGCTTCTGAGATCGCGGGCCAATCCGGGAGGAACATTTAAGAGAAGCAACTCTACAATCGACTTTCGGCACTAAGTGGATGCCAAAAAAAAAGTCTCTGAACTGATCCAAGAGCAGCCACAGCCTTGCCCACTTTGTTGGTTGCCATAGCGATGCTCTGCACCCACTAACATGGTAGCTGCTGACTTGGTTGCCAGGCTGCACAGAGACAAAGGCTAGGACACACAAGTCTGTGTCCTAAGTGAGGATGTGTGTTGGCCCACCTGCCTTCACAATGAATTTGCCTTGGCAGACTGGAACAAGTCCTGGTGTGCCACTTCAACACTGCCAGACACTCTGGCTGAGTGAAAGACTGTCCCACTCTTCTCCTCTGCCCTCCTCCCATCTGAAAACAGAAAGTGAGAGAAAGAGAAGGAGAAGGAGGACGGAAATAACAGAGAGGAACCGAACAATTCTCTCCTTCTTTGGATATGTGTATTTTAACACAAGTGTTTTCTTCATTTTTGTTTTGTTCTTTCCTTTTTTGCAGTGCCAAGTTTTTTCTTATTTTCAGTGTCCTCTGCCGTTAAACACTTGAAGTTTTAAGGGCGGGGAAGCTGACGGATTCAGAGGCAGATTGTTAATGTCTGCTTCCCTCCTGCTGTGGATTTGCTGGGGTCTGTTGGCTGTTAATACTTAAATCGGTATTTTTCCTGTTTTTTTAATTAGAGATTTACTGAAGGAGATTCAAATTCTTGCACATTTGTTTAATCTGCCTGTCATGACCACTCTCCTGTCTTTAAAAGATCTAAGATGCGCATTAGTTTGAAAGAGAAAAAAGATCTGTTTCTTTTTTCTTTCTGTCTTTTGTTCAAGGACCCTAATGATTTTTGCTTATGTGTAGATGTAATAAAAACACAAAAATGTCTAATCTGCACATAAAGAGAAAACAAATTAGGAGAAATCTCAACTTTTGTTGATTAATTTAAAAGGTTTTCTATTTATTGTTTTATACCATTTTGCAAAGCCTCGTAAGATTTTCCTTTTGCTTTGAAATTTTCTCTTAAAACTGTGCTGCTTGTGTTGCCAGGCAACTGCGCCAAGCACATTATGTCAATAGCCTGTGTGTTGACAAAGTGGTAGAAGTAGAAATGCTAGATCTGTCCTGCGCATTGCGGTCTGTAGCATTTCATACACGACTGTCAGTTTGGTCAGTGTCAAAACACTGTATATCTATACATATAATAAAAATTTACTGTGGCTTTAAATGTACAATAGTTGAACAGACAAGTCACGAAAACGGATTCACTTAATGCTTTTTGCTTGTTTTAGTGAAATGTGATGTAACACCTAAGTAGGATTTTTTTTTTTGTTCTTTTTACAAATTTTATTTAAGATGACTGAATCGGATCTGTTGAAGTGTCTTCTAATCACGGCTGAAGGTGTTCTCCCAGGCCCGTATGACACGAGGCAGAAGGGGTTGAAAGCCTGTGGCACCTTCTCAGCCAGGAGAGGTGTCGGATCCTCTCTCTGACACGGGCTTTACCCAATCACTGCCAAAATGGACATGAGGACCTTTGACAAACCTTGTCTCAGTCGTGTCAACATGTATATTGCATGACAATATTGCAGGAGGAATTTTGATGTTTTGTAAAACTCTTTGAGCATTGTGTTTGTGTGAAGGAGCTGACAGCCTCCTACCCCCCCCCCCCCCCCCCCACCTCCCTTCCTGAGCCATGAGTCGACACTAAAGCCCGGTCCCTCGTCACCTCCAACATGTGACTGCCAGTTCCAGATGCCCCTTCGAACCCGTGAAGTAGTTTGTTCAAAGAATGGGTGTTGTGGAGATTGTATTTGATATTATTGCTCATAATTGTCTTTTTAATGCTTTGCTTTAATGCAGCACTTCATTAAACAGATTTATGTCAAAAAGAGCCAAAGGTATGTTGCCAGTTCTGACGCAATCCACCAGATTTCAACCCTATTTTTTTTTTTTTTTCAAGTTACTGAGTAAATAGGTGGCCCCCTGACAGGCGGAGTGAGGCTGCTGGAGTTTGGAAGCGTGATGCATGTGCAGCAGATACAGCTGCAACTACACAGATCAGCACATCATCAAAGGGGAAATTTCACTGACTTATTGCCCTTGTCACGATTACCATGTGTCGAAAAATGTTTTAACAAGAAACCTTGATTTTTTTTTTCTTTTGTTTTCTTTTCTCTTTTTTTAGCAGTTGGTCTGTTGTGCATTCAGAGTCAGTCAGACCCAGCATGCTAGAAGCATGCAGCACACAACCAAACACTGAGGCAGTCCACACCCTGAAACCCGCAAGAGCATTTCATTTAGGTCTTTATCAAGCAAACAAAAATACAAAGGGGAAAATGAACACTAAACAGAACTAGAAATATAGCTTCAAGCTGTGCCGACTGGAACCTCTGGAAGTGACCTCTTATTTTGATGAGGACTTAGTCTACTCATTCATTACTTTAATAAAGCTTTTCTAAATAGTTTTTTTTCAATATTAAACTGGTTTTAAGATTTAGATAATTTGATAAGTTATAGTCACTATTAGAATAAACTAGGTGATAAAGCGTAGGACCGTTTTGGATGGAGTATCTTCTGATATTGCCACTATCTTTACTGTATGTGCTTAATGTCCTTTGACGCTTAGTAAAAACAGTTTATGTTTCGTGTGGTTTGATTCAATTAAAAATAAAATGAATTGTACAGACTGGTAGGTGACGTCACAGTGCTATGTACATATCAAAAGCTGGGAGCTCAACACAATGGGAACAGCAACACATAATCGTGTTAAATTTATGGCTGCCAGGACTGATAAGATAATCGCATTTTGCTTCTCGCGATGACCTACAGTTGCTCTGTCAAATGGGGTTGAGAGTTTGATTAGGGAAAAAAAATGTTTTTGCAGTCTTTTTGGCTGCTGAAAATCCAAAATACTGTTTTAGAGCCTGCACTGCACATAAATTGTAGCAGATTTGGATAAACAAGAAATTGATAGATCTTGGAAACAAGATTTTATTATGAAAATATTTTTACTGTGGGATTTTTGTAAAATCCAAAACGGCACAGCAGAAAAGTGTAGGTTTTATTGCCACATTTCAAGACTTTTAACCTTAAATGTCTGGGGATGTTAACACACTTTAAAGATTAATTTGATGAATTGCAAATAATTTTAACTGGATATTTAGTATGAAGGTTCATTCAAAGGCCACACGTATGATTAAGACATTTCTCTGCTCGTTCAAATGTAAAATGAGCAAATACAAATTTAGAATAGTAAAGTATTCCCAGATGTCATGATTTACATGTTTTGTAATTAACCCACGCATATTTAACTCTGAGTGGATCAAGTGCACATACTAAATATGACATATTTGCAAAAATGCATTATGACAGTTATGTGAAAGCAATTCTAAATATTCCACTTAGCACCATGCCGTCTATCGATCTCCCAAAAAACTGTTGATTTAGTCTGTTCTGACTATTTTTATGTTTTCCTGCCAGACCTTAATAGTAAAACAAAATCTACCGTACATAAAATTGTAATACCCCATGGTTAACATTTATGTTTTTCAAAAATGTAAAAATGACCAGGAATGAGTGTTTTTTTTTTTACAGAAATCCTAATGAATTGGTAGTGAACGAGCTTATAGAATACTGCTGTGAAGACGAAAGAAAGTACACAAGCTTATTTGTTGTTTGAACGATTGCCTTTCATGAATCTTAAACATTCCCAGAAAAGCAGGGTACTCGGCGGTATGGAACAGCTGCTGCAAATCACATATCCTTAGACTTAATTCATGCAAAATTCATTCCATCCTCAGAGACCGGCGCTAGGAGAAGAACGCGGTTAAGGTGTGATGCCACAAAATTACACCAGCGCTGTCTCAGCTCTGTCTAACTGGTGTTTTTGTGGTGATGATGGAAATACCATCCACAGCTGCCTCCCTACACCCCCCCCCGCATTCTAACAGTGTTATAGCTGTTTTTTGAAGGCTGCATGAATTAGTTGGCTCCAGACTGTGGTATAAAATAGTTTGTGTTGATGTTGATCAGTTGAGCTGCTTTGTTTTCACTCATGTATTTTTATACAATCATGGTTTATTTATTTTTTTTCCTCTATTCTATCAAATATTTACCATTGTGACCATTTAAAACGGCACTTACAGTAGCTATTGTCAGTTCATTGCAATAAAACACACTGAGTGCATCGTCCTGGTTTCCTTCCTAATATACACATTTTGCAGATCTTGTGGAAAGGTTAATAAAACCACATATTCTCTCCCAATAACTGTGATTTACTAGGAAACTGCCTGCACTTGTTCCAACCACCTAGTTCGGCTTTAACCGTAAAATCTCATTTATTGCCGTGCAGATGGCAGGGTCTTCTTCAGTATGTGTAGAATTTTGACTTCAAACAGCACCGGGGTTTATTTACTCTGCGTGCGTCGGGTCCTTTCGTGCGAACAACCATGTGGGTCAGAATGCCGACGTCTGAGTGATATTTTCCCACTTGAACTTGTTTGACAGCCTCAGGAATCCCATCCCCATCCCTAACCCAGCCAGTGCACGCCCATAAACATAACTCCCAAACGGCAAAGTGCGGTCGTCCATCAGGCCATGCCTTCTGTACCCCCTCCCAGACTCTTTCTCCACTGAATTTATGTTAAGTCCAAGAACAAACGTTGTCGCCCATTCCATAAATCACAGTGACACGAGAGAAAAAGGCATTCAGAAGAAGAAAAATCACAGCTCGTGGATCTTTTTCCACATTCTGTGATGCATGCAGGTTCCCTTCCAAGTGTTTTAGAACGACTCAAAACTCTGCCCTGGCTGAAAGAGCACACACATAGATAGCAAGCACTCTGCTAACATCTCTGAGGTTTTTGTCAGCAGGCTGTACCACATCTTCACAGAATGGAAAAATGCCGAATCCTCCATTGTTGAGTGGTCTCCCACTCCCGTTTTCTTTGTGTTTCTTTGTTCTGTCTCTCCATTTTCCTCAAGGAGACCCACTATGAGGCTAGATGTTTTGCATTAAAGTAAGCAGCACTCACAAAACCCCTGGCTCTTTCTGAGGACTCAGTCACCAGAGGGCACACTTGGGCGGATCATTTCAAGCAATCCAGTGCAGCAGGGATTCAGTCAGGCGAGTAAATTCTAATTTACCAGTGTGAGGGAAAACGTTGAGGGCAATGTAAAGATAGCACTTGTCCTCCCTTGCCTTTACCGCGTTGAGCTGGGATTCATTACTAACTTAGACTGAAATGAATATCCATCTGAGGACGATCGAAGGCGAATTTCTGCAGGAGATGCTTGTCTGTGCACAAAAACGCGCCGGCTCCCTCACACTGTACATAAGCCCAGCAGATGGGTTGCTTTGTTCTTAGAGATGTGAGAAAAACAGGACGCGGAACCACAACCTGAACAGCGGCTGGTAGTTCAGGCCTGTTGTATCATGCCTCTGTGCTTTGTGTGCTGTGACTCACCGAGCGATACGAGGGTGAGTCAGAAAGATGACAGGGAAATGTAAATAAATTAACTGTAATGTTCGCATTTCAAGCGGAACACAGGGTTCTTTCTGAAACATCACAATGAAGTGGAAAGATGAGAAAGAATTGAAAAGAGGGGAACAAATGAGGCACCTGCACTGCTGGAACTGGCTGTGCGATTTGCTATTGATGTAGCATCACCAGCCGGGAATCCCTCGGGCCATATGATCTGTGCAAATTGTGCCGAAAAGGAGAATCAATGGGTGCATCAAGAGTTCTGTAAGTGAGGGTTCAGCAGTGTAAAGAAGAAAAAAAAACATCTGAGGAATTTGCTTGACCAGCAGGCAAAACACATTTGAGAAAACCAAACGCGTTAACTCTAAAAAAGCGCTGACGGTCACACTTGGTTTATTATTGGTTAATAACAAGCAAAAATCCACAAACATCCGCTGTGAACTCTTCTCATCCCATCCATAATGGATCCACACTAAAGCCATGTGTCTGCCTCTGTGCTGCTGCCTAAGATGCTGTAAAGTGATGCAAAGTTTTCTGCAGAGTTCCCCCGGGAACGGCAGCATTTAGTCTCTCAGTTCTCCCGGGCTGCGTGAAAGCCTGCAGAGTCACATCTAGGGCTAATTGGATGTTGAAGGCATTTGCAGCTCTCATGGTTTCGTGCTGGTGACAGCCATGGAAAGAGTCGCAAGGTTTTCCATATGTCCGACCTTGTCTACTATTTTCTGTTCCCCTTAATCCAATTTAAGAGCTGAACCTTATCCCAGCTGCCCCTGGATGAGGGGCAGAGGGACATGTAGCCGGTCCCTTACAGGACCACACAGAGATACACAACCATGCACACTCACAGGGTCAATAAGAAATAAGAAATAGAATAAGAAAATAACTTAATGTTTGTTTTTGGATGATAGGAGGAAGCCAAAATCCCGGATAGAAGGAAGAATATGGCAGCTTAAAAACAGAAAAGCACCAGATTGTTGTTAGATGACGGTCTGATCTCCCATTAATTACCATATCTTTAAGAAAAGTTACAATATATTTTAATTTGGCACAGATTTGTATTTGGACTAGAGGATTATCTAGACTATTAGTGATTACATTTGAGTTCAAAACGTTCCCAAGTCATTCTTTCTTTGACTTCAACATCCATTTATCCTCCCATATCCATTTTCTCCTCTCCAGGGACACAGGGAGGCTGGAGTCTATCCCAGCTACTATTTGGTGAAAGGCGGCCTACATTTGGGGCTAGCTGTCAGTCTTTTGCAGGGCCCCACAGAGAGAACTGAGAGAAAAAACAAATAACCACCATAATTCAGAGCGATGGGTGGCATACTGCACATCTGTTCTGAGGCCTAATGAGATATTCATAAATTCATTTCCAAACTAATATTGACAAATAACATGAATATTCAACTCACGAGTGAACAGATATCGCTACATTCATCTGAATTATGTCATGTTTTGAGGCTATAGTATCAGAGCCATTTCAGACCTTTTTTCTCCCAGCTTAAAGGACTTCTTCAGCTTTTCATCTTGAACTGAGGAAAAGATGAACAAATGAATAGGTGAAGGGAGAGTTCTGCTGACAAAGATGTCTTGTGCAAAATATTGATTTATTTCTGATTTTCTGGGGAATGTTTAACTTGTTCAAAAATGTGTCCAACTCTTGGAAGTTTAGTCTTGTCTTGTCATCTGAATCCTCTTTCACAGATCCCCTGTCTTTCTTTAATTGAAGGTAAACTGGATTAGATGGAAACTGAATGTGATTTCTAATTAGATTAGATTCTAATTGGATGGATATGGATTTGCATGTATGTAACTGTCCAATCTAACCACTCCCAGAAAGCTTTAACTGACAATCCCTGAGTTTCAACTATAACAGATTGAATATACATGATATTCAGTAGACTATCTGATGATGTGAGCAGGAAAAAGAACCAAATATTGAGTTAATCTGAGACAACCGGGATTTTCTTTTATGGTAATTGTTCCACCCTTGAATCAAGGCATCATTTTTTATATTCATTCTCAAATTGGTGAAAGAATGTATAACAATGGAGAGCCCTTATTGCTTTTCTTATAACAGTACAGCCAGAATGCTTAAAATACCTCTTTTTGATATACTGTACATATTAAAAAAGTACTTTTTAGTCTAATATGTTTTAATCCATCCAAGACCAGCCAGAGTCTGCAGTGGTTATATATTAAAAGCTCTACACGAGTAAATCCTCATGGAATGACACAGTAAGCTCGTGATGTAAGCAGCCCTGTATTTTGACTTTAGGCTTCCATATATCAGTTTTATAAGCAGAGCTCAGATCCCCCCCAAACCCCAGAATAAATCAGCTTCTCTGTTACCCATTATATGTACACACTACTTACAGATGCCCACCTTGCTGTAGGGCAAAGCAAAGAGATATTTAGCAATATCATCTAGAGCAAGTTATTTTCAATCGCTAATAAGACAATGCACACTTCCAGAGGAGGCCTTTCTGCATAAATAAAGTTGGTAACAACAGCGAGCTAATCAACTACGTGCATCTCGTTCTCCTGGGGGACACTTAGTAATTAGGTATGAGCAAGAATAGGCAAGTGGAGTGCTCTGTAATATGCCTTTAGTCCTGAAGATGTGGGTATAGACAGAAAGATAAAATTTAGCTGTATAACGGTCAAGAAAGGGGAGCAGGGTGAGTCATGAGGGGAAAGACATCGTTGCAGAGAATGAGGAAGAAAAAGAGCCCCCCAAAAAATCAATGAATTAATTAAGAAATACTCCCCTGTGACAACCACCCATTTTTAACTGCACCTTTGTTTTATGGGAGTAAAGATACTGTGAATCTCTGAGTAAATAATGACCACTTTTTTAGAAGGCAGCAAGTATAAGATAACATATTTTTTTCAAAGACTTGCTAATGTTTTATCTGATTTTATTTCAGTAGCAGAGCACGCACCATTACCATTGAACCTATACGGAAATATCACACGAAACCAGCTTACACTAAGCATTGTTGTGACATTAAGCACATATTTCCACACCATTAGGGTGAATAAAATGTCATTAATGTACTATCTTCCCTCTACAGCTTTTTTGTGTAATAACTCTTTACATTTTTGTACCTTAACAATATATCAATATATCAGCCCCAGCAGCAGAATCTATAGATACAGATAATTGTAGCTTTTCTTCCAGACACTAACACAATTATTCAATGACACCTTTTCAGCCAATAAAAAGCTGTCACTCATTCCTGCTTTAATAAATCATACTTGGATGTATTCTTAACTGTCTCCCACTTTCATTAACTCTCACAACATTCTTAAAGTAATCCGCTGCCCCTCAAGTTTTCTGCTGGTGTCAGAGTTTGGAAAAACTTTAAAAACATACATCCACTTGCTTTTTCATACAATGAACAGAGGACAAGCAATAGCTCTGACCAGCTAAGTGCAGTCAGAAGCCTTGCTAAAAGTTATCTCAGAGCTCAAATCTGAAATCAGGACTTGAGAAACGGTTGTGAAACAGCTCCTGGCACGGTGAGTCACCACTAAGCTGTTTGGTGACATGACTACCTCCCGTGGTTGAGTGCCCTCTGGTACTCTTATGAAGTCTGACAGCAACTAAGAAAATCCCTCAAGGCAGTTCCTAAAGTTCAAAAGCTCTCCATGATGGCTGTCTGAGTTTTAGTGTTATACATTTTGTGGTCTCTCAATACACCCTTTTCAGCATGCTTGTGCTCATCAAAGTTTATGTGTCCAGAATGATGCCGAGGATGACGTGAGATTCAGGTGGGTCGTACAAAAAAAATGATTATTTATTTTAACCAATGATGACAGCCCCTTTGAATGCGGTTGTCATGGCACCGGTACAGAAAGTCTGTCATGACCTGGCTTTGATGTGTAAGTTTGGAATTGGCACGCATGTGTGTGGCTGTTTGAGCATTTCCCTCGTCTTTTCTACCGTCACCATTACAGATGCTCACCAAATGAATCAACAAACGGTGTGTAAACAGTGCGAGACAATCCGCGGAGAGACACAGCGACTGTCATTTAGGAGATAATGAGACTGCAACACGACTTAAGGAGAGTGGAGCACGTGTAGGTGCTGACAGCTCCCTCGCATGAACTGTCTTTCTCTCTTCACTATGACACCGGCTTACAAAACGCTTGTCATGATCTATTAGAGCAGAAAAGTGTCACAGAAGATTCCCCGATCATGTGCAAATGAATGCATCGCGCCCAAACTCTGGTGACACATGCATCTGCTTGATTTCAGCCTGTTTGTGCACGTCTGCAACGATCCGGTGAGCGAAGGCGACAGCATTATCCTGCATTATGTGTGACTTTGAAATGAAAATACAGATTTTAGTTATCAATATTTCACGGGGCCTGTGAATTGCCTCCAAGACATGTGCTGCATTATTGAGAAAGAGCCTCTTGGAGTTTGAAGTGCGTTATGGGTGATTTTCATTGACAGGAGGGATTCTATTCCACAGAAGACAGATAGATTAAAAAAAAGCCATGTCTTTAGTCTTTCCGGGTGTCTTTGGGAGAATTTTCCTCATTCCCAGTTAATAACAACTGGTGGTACTATTGTATGTTATCCTCTCATTTGTTAGAAGAAATTCCAAGCAGTCAAAGTTTCAACAACATCTGAGTCTGCCCACAGACATAATTCTCTGTAGAGAAAAATCGAAATTATCCGCCCAAGTCAAAATGGTGATGATGAAGTATTGGGAGCTGGTGGCCTATCTGATGCCCACATTTGGCCCAGGATATCAAAAGGATGGAGTCTGATCATGAATGAATTTCTATGGCTTGGAAGACTCATTCACATGTAGAATTTAGTAATACACAATCTCATTGGGATATCTCACACTATTTCTGGCTGAGAGGTTTCTGTCCAATGTCGCCATCTAGTGTAGGAACAAAGAATAGATGATGAAAGTAAGTTTTTTTTTTTGTAAAGTCAATATTTAACCCATTCAGACCTGATGCAGCTTATCTAGTGTTTTACCCATCAAGATACAAAATTATTTTACAAATCCTTTTTTGTAAAATCTGATAAGCATACGTAAATTAAATGAGATGAAGCCAAAGCTTTTCTTATTAGATGTCTCCCCTTTAGTTTATTGAGATATTTTTTTTTATCACATGAAGTTCTGAATTAGTTCATGTGTTAAAGTAGCATGAATCAATTCTGACCACTGATTTCCTAATATCCCCATGACAATGAGGTACAATTACATCCAGATGTGACATTTTAAACATAGTTTTTACATAGATGTGCGACACTTTCAAATGTGTTTATATATATATTTTTTTAAGATTAAATATTAGAACGAAAAGCCTTAACAGTGTTATAGCTGCTTGAAGGTTGCACCACCACTCACTGAGTGTCTGGTGAATGTGCAAAAAGGTTTTTCCCACTGAAATCAGTTAATTCTCTTTCTTTGTTTAAGTAAGCTGCAAATGCACACTTTCTAGTTGGAATCACCATGGAGACCAAACAGCAAAGAGTCCAGACTTCACTTGAGACGTTTTAATCTGCAAAATCAGATCTTTTGGAATTTGTTGGTGCACAATGTATTAGCTCAGTAGTACAGATAACAGAAATTCAATAAACAGTGAGTGAGCATTTGTTTATCTTTAGAACACGATTTCAGAAGGAAAGCAGAAAAAAAAAATTGAGGTATATGAAACACACTGTTTTCGGGGTTATTTTATTTTGTGTAAATGATTTATACTAAAAACAATGCTCTGGAATGTTTACCGACATTATCAGCGTAAACTACGTTCCAGTCCTGAAATTTTCTCCAAAGCTTAAGACGAGACTCAGTTTAAGTTAACCGTTCAGAACGGAGACGGAGGCAGGAGAGGAAGACCAAGTTTAGACAGGCACGATGCTGCTTGACCCATGTCAAAGTGATCTGGTATCTGACCGTCAGCGAACGCCTCCATGAGCCCACCCACCCCTCCACCTCAACCCCAGAAGTGTCTATGCTGAGTCGTCCCCTCTGGTGGCTGCTGTGATTTGCTGGGACAGGCAGGTGGAACTGGACGTATCAGCGGTCCAGTGACCGTTTCTGGATGGCTTCGGCCACCACCGTACGCAGGAGAGCGATGACAGAACGAGGGTCGTCATTACCAATCACAGCGCTGCCCGACACGATCATGTTAGCACCAGCCTGCAGGAGATGTCAGCACACACACGTAAAGCTTCAAACCAAGGCGCTGACTGGAGAGGTTGTGACGCTTTAATGGCTTACCTCTGCACATTTGTGAATGGTGTCTGGGCCCACGCCTCCGTCCACTTCAATATCAAGCGAAGGGAACTGACTCCGCAGCCAGCTCACCTGGGTCACACGGCCAGGAAGCAATGAATAAGACAAGCCCACTCCCTGCAAATCAGGCAGGTTGTGTTGCATGTCTGCAGTCCGTGTCGGTCTTACCTTGGGCATCATGTCCTCCATGAACTTCTGTCCTCCGAAACCAGGCTCAACAGTCATGACTAGAGCCATGTCGATGTGGTTAGCCCATGGAGCCAGCTCTTCCACAGTAGTACCGGGCTTTATGGCCAGACCCACCTGTGGCACGACACGAAAAAACAACAACAGTTCTTTATTTCCCCAAAAACTTCTGAAAAGTAAGATGAGGGGGTGTGGAGGCAGATAATAATCCATTGATTTTGTTCAGTTTAATGTGCTTCCTTTTCTTAAGAGAACCATCTATTTTTATACCATTCTGTACATTAAATGTTCCAGATGAGAAGCCGCTGTGTTGCACATACCACAGGTTGCAGTGCCTGTGCCAGCTAGCGCACAGGGCTCCGCTCTAAGCAACAAGAGATTAAATGAAAAAGGTCCATGATGAAAAGTGTGGTTGCACTGTGCTTACAGCAGTTTTTGCAATAATCAACTGTCTGTGGTCGCCACAAGCGCAACCAATCTTGAAAACACAAGAAATAAGTAAGTTACGTCAGTTTTGCATTGATGGCTTTTTGAGTCTTAAAACATTTCATCCATCTCTTGAGCTCCGATTGAGAGGTTGTGTGTCACAGTACCAAAAACAGGGTTTTTATTACTTGGAAGCTGTAAACAAACAATTTACTCTCACTCTTTTGTACAATAAAAAATGCTGCATATCATGCTCAGAATTCACAAGGAAATAAACTATTATTATTACTCTCTAAATCTGTATCGCTACTTTATTTCCTCATAATTAAGATGTACTTGTCCCCAGAGACACTTTGTGCACTCAGAGGCTAAAATGAGCTTCTACTTCTTTGGGAGTGGCATTTCTAACCTTCATGCCGCTCTCTTTTATCTCTTTGATGAGGTTTCCAGGGTTTGTGGTGGCTTCTAGGTGGAAGGTGTATTGGTTGGCTCCAGCTGCTGCCATGGGTTTCACCCACTGCTCCGGCCGAGACACCATCATGTGCATATCTGCAACAGCAACACAACACACAACACTCAACACACAGCACAGTATCATTCAGGTATCACTCAGTTCACGGGTCGACCAAAGGTTGCCTCATTTGTTTTCTCACCAAAGAAAGGGTCTTGGCCTACTGATTTTCTCAGGCATTCCACCATGGGGTGACCAAATGTGAGGTTGGGGACAAAGTGTCTGTATTTGGAAGAAAAACCAGAAGGTTGAGAAACTCTCTTATCTTGCACAAACAACTCTAAACGCATGCCTTGCATCAACAGTAGAGGAAGAAGACACGTCTCAGTTGCAAGGCACGAGGAAGAGATTTAAAATAAAAATAGCATGTTTCACAGTTAGAGGTTTGAAATGCTTTAAAATACTTGTTCATAAAGAAGAAAGTAGAATTACACAAATATCGTGTTAAACGGATTAACTCTTGGCAGGCTAACTTAGCTTGTTGATGTTAGCCAACTTTGTTGCTCATCCAATGAGCTGATCATTGGCTTGCTAGCCGTTAGCGCGCGAGCTGCTTTAGCACGTGATGAACTGACCCGTCCATGACGTCCAGGTGCAGGTAATCAGCTCCGCACTCCATCATCCGCACGCACTCGCTGCCCAGGCAGGACAGGTCGCTGCTCAGGATGGACGGACCTATTTTCGCACTGTACGACATGCTGTCCCCTCCACGGTCCGCACACAGCCTGACAGGCTAACAACACGTCAAGTTAAACAGAGACACCGACGCAACTTCCGTTTGTGACCTCCAAAATATAACTGTAATTAAAAACGGAGCCCATTTTTTCGTAAATTGAAGAGAAATATTCGCAATTCATACCTCTATTTAAAAAGATTGCAGGAATATATGATAAAGCTTTATACGGTGTAAGGAACACTTGTGACCATGTGTTGTACTAAAGATTTAACATTTATTAACCAGGTGTCTGTCATTAACTGTAAACAGAAAGCCTATTTTTGGTCCCTCACAAACAATTTTATATCATAATGTAATTAGTTATCATTACAGTAAAATTACATGTATTGTCTATAAGGTAATTACATGTCTATGTTTACTGAATGGTTGAGTCCCAGTTCGTGAAATCCTTGTAGGTTTAATTTTGGTGGTCTATTTTTAAACTTCCGGTTTACCTCTTAGATCACGAATGTTGTGAAAACGACTGGTTAAAAAACTTTTTTTTCATTATATCCCGCGCACATATATTTTGCTTGAAAATAGGACTATACTCATTTTTAAACACTAGATGGCGTAAAACGCATGCCTCAGTAGATCCTTTATAATTCTTTCCATCTTGCTATGATGAGGGCTCCTGTGTTTTCATTCCTCTGATCATAAGAACGTAGAAACATACATTCTAACCCAATTCCAAGCCACATCTCAATTTGTAGGGGTTTTATGTATATATATATATATACATATATATGTGTGTGTGTATATATATGTGTGTGTGTGTGTGGTCGTGTGTTCGTGCGTGCGTGTGTATGTGTTTCTGTATGCATATTCTAAACTGGTATTTTTCACTGAAGAGTCCACAAACCTACCCCCTTCCATTAATTTCTGGTGTTTTCACCTCCTATATTTTGGTGCCCTGATAACTCCTCTCTGTGTAATTTGTATGTCATCTTCCTCATCTTGAATAAATTCTGCTGGGATGGTTTGAATGTTTCTCACATGGGTGTGTTTGGCTGCAGTGATTTAAGGAGCAGAAGGCTGAGGTTTCAATAAGCCTCCCTGCATCTCTGTGCTGGGGCCCAGCCCGCAAACAGCAACCCTCACGGACCCCGATAGGTAAAACTGAAGTTGACATTTATGAGTTTTTGCCCCACGTCTTGCATTACTGCAGCAATGATGGAAACACTGGTAGCGTGGCGTACCTTAGTAGACAGGCAGACATGATATATGCAGTTCCTGAGTGGGGCTGAGGCAGAGTAGGTTGGCGCCACAGAAAATTGGGGCCCCAAGAGACTAAGGAAGGTTGTAAAAAAAAAGAAAAAAGAAAAAAAAGCTTTGGGCTTCAACAGCCATATTGTTGAGTGGAGAAGGGGGGCTGTTTTATGGGCCTGTCCATACTAAAGGCCTTCATCTCCACACAGTGTCTCTGATTCTTTGGAGCAGGGCGGAGGAGGGATGATTCACTGGAGCTCATTAAGTGAATTTGAGAAAAAACTAAAATAAAGGAGTGCTTTAACCATCTGGGTCACCCTCAAGGTTGATTCACCTTCCAGCAAAGGGGATTCTTTTATCTGCAGCTCATGCTGAGATTCAGCCTCCATATTAATGCAAACCACATTGCACCTTGTATATAATGTCAGATGAGCATTAGCTTCTGTTTACCAGGAGGTCCCAAGAATAAACTTTTTTTCTTTTTCAAGTGGAGGAGGAACGGCTCCGGAATGTGACTCACATTCATTTTATCAATGCTTCCAAGCTGTTCTCTGTTGTTCTTTGTTGGCCATAACATTTTCATAACTAGCTCTTTACAAGCGTTGCAATGCTTCGTGTGTTTCTGTCGTTCTCGTGTGACATAATTCATGTTGTCCGTGACATATTCAGCCAAAATTACATGGAGATTATATGAGCCACGACTGAAACTTTAAATATTTTTAAAACACACAAAGCATTTCCATTTCCAGAGGAAACATGTGGAAATGTGTTGTTCTGTGTTTTAAACAAATTGGTTCCCTTCGCTTTTTAAGGAAAAAACATTCTTCTTTAATCAAAATCTTAAATGTGTTTGGCGTGTTTTTCCTGTCTATACGTTTTGCTGGATACATATGATGTGATCGTAATGAGCAGGCCAGCTAAGGTTTTCTCGTTACACGCGTGTCTGAGACTCAACCGTCTGTGAAGACAGTTAAAGAGATCTTTTCATCAGCACATTGGAAATGTTAGGAATCATTTCCACCCCCAAGTCGACTAAATTAGTGTATAAATGTTGTCATTTTTACAGACCCTAAGAACTTGAGAACTAAGAACTTGAACAGCTGCTCTAAGGTGGGCTTGTTTATTCTTCTGACAGCATTTCTTCTCTTTTTTTCTTTTAAGGTCTCTCTCAGACACATCCAAGAAGGTAGCAGGTCTGTTTTGGCATATGGTTTCATGGGCTCTTTCAATCATGTCCTTGGAAACTTTTTTGTCTGGATTTACTCGATGCTAATAAACATCTAAGGACATTGTTGGCAATGAGCATGTTTAAACCTCTAACAGTCTTGTGAGGAGCAGCATTCGGTGGCTATTAATGAAGCATTCAGTATTGTCAATGTCAAGCTCAACTGTAAAGGATTTACCACGGACATATGACACTGTTCCCTCTTTTAACAGTTAAGTCTGCAGGGCGACCTGTCCAGGGTGTACCCCGCCTCTCGCCCATTGTCAGCTGGGACAGAATTCACACCCCCCCACCCTGCGACCCCGTTGGAAATAAGCGGTACAGAAAATGGATGGATGGATAATCTGCAGGGGAAACAGGGCATTGTTTCATGACAGAATTCCTGTTACCTCGGGTTATCTTTCTTTATGTGACCCTCAACCCCTACAGTAAAAGACAGGAATACATGTTTCTGTCCAGAAGCTGATTGTTAAGAACTTGATCCAAACTTTTCATGTACTATTTTGATTGAAATCTTCCTGTGTCTTCTCTCCGGCTGTTGATTCTGAGGGCCTGAGCAAACAAAAGGCGATAAGGCTGTTTGTGATGGTCACATGGAGAGCGTGACTTTGTGGCCTCGCCCTTCCTGGGCTTTATGTCATGGGTCCATAAATGGAATAGGAAGGGTGCGATGGGAGCTACCTCTCTGTGCTACGTTAATGCTAATGATCGAGTTTGTGTTTCCTCCGTGGGGGATCACGCAGAGGAACACGATTGTCTTTTTTACCTACACTGGGTCAGTGTTTGATGGGGGACATCCGTGATTAGAAGCAATAACATCAGGATTTTCTATGCATCCTTTAACTGCTGTTTCAAAGGAAAAGTAAGATAATAAAGGAAGACTTTATAATCATGAGGAGTTAAATAGGTCAAATGCGTCATCTTTAACTTTGTTCCACAATTTCCCACTTGGCATCCAGTAAAAAATGCATTTTACAGGGAACACGTAGGCAAATAAGGAAAGCCTGATCTCCAGTAGCATGACTTTATAAGATAATCTATACATTTTGTGAAATGTTAATGCAACATTTTACTTGAATTGTTTGATTTCAGATGTTTACAGTTCCAAAATCACAAAAAAACATTTAGGGAGTGGCTGGACTTCATTTGTGAAGCATCATGCCTCATGAGCTGTTTCAGAAATGGCTAAGAATAGCAGCACAGGCCTAATGGCATTTCACCCATTTTTCATGTTCAAATCATCAAATTCTTCTAAATTGTCCATGCATATATAGCTCTTCTCAGGCTTTTAAAAAATCTGCAACCTTTTTCTCTAAACCTAATGCTCCATATGGCCACGGTCGTCTTCCTTTAACTTCATTTTTCAACATAATCTCCTGTCAAAATGCCTGTAATAGGAACCTGAAGAAAGAATTATAATTTTGATTATCGAGAGGGAAAAATGTTCTTTCAACAAATTTAAAGAATTTGATTAGCCCTTTTGGTGGAGGTATGGGATATTTTCTTACCCCGCTGGACCACTGCATGACAGGCAAACTGCATCTGTAGTAGTAGTCTGGCTGTACCCATACCTGTTGATACAGGATCTTTTTCTCTTTTATCCTATGAGTTTTGGTGATGAGCTCATCTTCAACCTCTTTTGATATTTACAGTGAGAAATGTTAGATCTTTGCGCATTACTATCTTGTTTCATGTCCAGCTCTGTGGCATCAGCGTAATTAGCTTTCTATTCGTTATTCAAATAGCATTAATCACATTTTATGTCACCCTCTGTATTGACATGACCTTAACTTTTCAACTCCAACCACAGCACAGGAGCATTAGTGGCCAGGATGTAACATTAACTGCCTGTGAAAGCTTACTCCAGGGAGAAACGGACTGCTGCTCATGATTTAGTGCTGTATGGGGGACAATGTGTAACGTGTCACTTTAAACGGCCAGAAACTGGAGCACAAAATGGGAACTAGGAAATTATGTCACTGAGTTATCAGAGAAAAAGAGTCAAAGATTTTTTGAGGATAAAGAATACTGTTCACCCCCTTACCAACATTTACTTTTTAATATGTTGTTTTTCTAGATTTAAGTGCTGATAAGAATTACCCTGCCAAATTTAATATTTGCTCACAGGATGTGCTCACAGCATGGAGGTGTTTGGTTTATTCAACTCGGAAATCCACTTCTGATTAAATAGCTCTCTGTGATCAGATATAGTGATTTTTATTCCTTCCTCCAAAATGGTCTAAGTGTGTATTTAATAAATTGTGGCACAAACTTTAAAATGAATCCACAAACGATCTAGTCAATACCTGTGATTTAGTCTTTCAGAAATGAAAGTTAATTTGCCAGAGAGTCAATCAGCAATAGTACTTTTTGTTCCAGGTCCTCATGGGGGAGACTTGTCTTCATCCATTTGTAGTTTCTTCTCTGAAAGTCTACAACTATCATGAGATTTTTAAAAAATGCTCTGCTTGCCGTGCTAAGAATACAACAGGAACATCAGCTGCTGACCATTTCTCAGCTATGGAATAAAGTCTCTGGCACTAAGTGCACCTCTCTTTTGGAAAAGAACATTTTGTTGTCAGTAATAGCGAGAACTATCACTGCCAAGTGATCCAAGTGATCCAAGTGATGGTGGTGTTCCCAACAGCTGCTGAACCCACCATGGAGACTGCTACAGAGTCTGGCAGTTTGAACAAATTCTCCAAAATC